AATCAGCCGATACCAATATCATGCCAATAATTTTGTGCATCCCTAGAGAGTTGATTATGTTTCACCCAAACATTTTACATTGTTTATAATCTGTTGGTACAACTACAGCAGTCTCTAAAATGTTGAAATAAGACAATCAACCCCAAACAGAAACCACAAAGTTGTTTTGCTGTACACTATGACAATCCTGTCAAAAAATCTATTGATCTGTCAAATTTTGGTTCAAGAATTTAAATTTTGCTTTATGTAAGAATGTGTCAGACCAGCTCAGAAATACAAAACTTAATAATCAAGTATTAAATTACTGTAGCCTGGGGCCTTCTGAGGCTCTGTCCAAGCACATAAAAAAGGCAAGCAATTCCACAGGTAAAGGGATTAATATATTTTTTGAAATACCATCTGAAATACACTCCTATTAAGAACCATCATGCTTAATCTGTTGCATCTATTAGTACTATGACTGATAATGTGTTTTTAAAGGTTTTTTTTTTTCATTAGGGGTTTCTTCAGCATATTTTTTATTTGGCACTGACTGTTAATGGCTTTGCACTACTACTGACCTCACATTACTGTCATAAAATAAAGTGTGCATAAAAGAGAAGTGCAAATATACATACACACGAAGAATTTTTAATCCAGTAGGATAATTTATTTGGGCATAATCAGAGCATAATTTTTAAACCCTGTCACCTCAACATGTATTTTAATGGTTCTAGACACTAATTCTTGTTTTATCATCTACAAGAGCTCACTCAAACAGACCTTAAGCATAAAAATCATGTATTTAATCTACATTTGTGCATGCTTGTCAGCACAATGTGTGCGTACGGTTTAACAAGTTAATCTAATGTATTTTGGCTTAAAGAACAACCACCTAACATTTTAAAATCAAATAAATATATAACGTAGACTAAAAAAGTAGTAAAAATATATAATGAAATGTTGGTGTTTTGTTTTTCTTTTGTGCTATATTTTCAGCCTTTGAAACAAGACCCCAACACTGAAAGTTGCTGGACAGGAGAGCAGTGGTGATGTGTGCTGTTGAAGTGACAAATCGGTTCAAGGTGGAGGTGGGACTGCATTAATGATCACCTCTGAACCCCTTCCTGTTTGCTCTGGTGATGGACAGACTAACAGAAATCCCTGTGGACTTTGATTGCTGATGACATTGTGATCTGTGGTGAGAACAGGGATCAGGTGGATGAGAAGTTAGAGAGGTGGAGGTATGCACTTGAAAGAAGAGGAATGAAAGTCAGCCGTATTAAGACGGAGTGCGTGTGTGAATGAGAGTGAGGCTGGTGGAACAGTGAGCCTACAATGAGCAGAGCTCACAAAGGTGCAGGACTTCAAGTACTTAGGGTTGCTGTCCAGAAAAACAGGCAATGTGGTAAAGAGGTGAAGATGAGAGTCCAGGCAGGATGGAGAGGACGGAGAAAAGTTTCAAGATTTGAATTTGTAACAAATGGGTGGAAGCCAAGGTCAAAGGAATTGTTCACAAGACAGTTATGAGACCAGCTATGTTGTATGGTCTGGAGCCAGTGGCATTGACAAAAAAAGACAGAAGACAGAACTGAAAGTGGAAGAAATTAAGTTGATGAGATTCTCCTTAGGAGTGACAGGGTTGGACAAGACTAAGAATGAGATCATCAGAGGTACAGCATAGGTAGCTGGGCTGGAAGATAAATTTAGGATAAAGAGGCCAGCGTAAGCTGGTTTGTACATGTGCAGCATAGAGACAGTAGATGTATAGGTAGAAAGATGCTAAAATGCACCTGTCAAGAAAAAGAAACAAAATAAATAAAGAGGAAGGCCAAAGAGGAGATATATGGATGCAGGTAGAGAGAACATGGCTGTAGTAGCAATGGATAGAGTACAGGAACAGATGAAGGATGACCTGCTGTAGTCACCCCTGAATAGGGAACAGTTGAAAGATGATATATATATATATATATATATATATATATAAAGGCTGTCTCTCTCAGTGTTGCAAAAATACAGAGTATAGATAAAGCCAACTTTCTTGAAAAGTTAAGATTGAAACTGAAGGTAAACAAGGAACATATGAACAAAACACTGAATCGCACATGGAAAGATACAACTGTGTGGCAGTGGAATGGCAAACAGAAGTCACTGTAACAGGAGCACGGAGTCCTGTCTGTTTAGTGGTGGTAGGCCATACTCAAGGGGGGGTTGACTTACACAGTGGCTGTTAAGAATTCACAAGCTTTGGGTTTTAAACCATTGGGGAAAAGAAACTGCAAGAAAGGTAAACCTGTGATCGATCAAACGCACATGGTTGTGCATTTTGCCTATCCTGGCGACCTTAAATGCAACAAAACTAAAATGTATTTTTGTTAGATTTGTTGTACTTTTAATCAGACTGAATTATAATCAAATATAATAATTATTTTTTTAACTTGGTGTTATGTCTTATTTCTTTCGGCTTTTCCCTCTTTAGGGGTCGCCACAGCGAGTCATCCTCCTCCATCGCACTCTGTCCTCTGCACCCTCTGGCCTCACTCCATCTACCTCCATGTCCTCTCTAACTGCATCCATATATTACCTCTTTGTCTTTTTCCTGGCAGCTGCATTTCTAACATCCTTCTACCAATATACCCACTGTCCCTCCTCTGGACATGTCCAGACCATCTCAGTCTGATCTCTCTAACTTCATCTCCCAGTTGTTCAACATGTGCTGTACCTCTGATGATCTCATTCTTAATCTTATCCATCCTTGTCACTCCTAAGGAGAACCTCAACATCTTCATTTCTGCCACTTGCAGTTCTTTCTCCTGTCTTTTTGTCAATGTCTCTGTCTCCAGACCATACAACATAGCTGGTCTCACCACTGTATTGTAAACTTTTTCTTTGATTTCATTTGATTTCCTGAGTGTTATGTGTTGTACGTATATTTCATAATTTTAATTTCTACCTCTGGTGCTTCCAAACTAATAAAATTATGTTACCTCAGTTCCTTAAGCCCCTTCATATTTCAGTCATTACTGATTGAAACCTGTCACTCATTGATTAAAATGTTCAAGATCTAATACATTTTGTATAGTTTATGTTTTGATCTTTTTCAATGTAAATCTTCCTGTTACACTCAAAATGTGCTTTTTCATAATAACTGGCTGACTGAAGTGTTAGAAGGATGTCCACCTGACTGCATATATGCAAGCTGACATACGCCCTGACAACAACTACTCACAAACTCATCAGCATGATGGTATATCTGTATATATTTAATTTTTATCAAACATCTCAACAATGGAGATTAACTAAAGCAACATTTTGGCCTTTTTTTCCTCTACAAGTTATTTAATTTATTTTTTTAAACGTAATGTTCATCTTCAACGGAAAAGTTTTTCGTATGTGTGAGGGTGCCCTTTTGTGTGTGTTCAGACAGAGATGGGCGAAGGCAGCCAGTTCTATCAGGTTAAGTGTGACAGACCAATCCGTGGCCACCCATTTGCTTTGACTGTGAGGCTGTTAAGAGTGATAATGGGTTTTAACACGGACACACATAAAGCACACACGTATATCATTTTCACATAGTCTCATGCACTTAAAATTTTAAACTACATGCAAAGAACAGTCTACAGAAAAAAAAGGATTAAAGCCAGTTTGTTTACATTGATTTTTACACTTCAATTGTGCTCAGATTATTTTCAATTTAAATAACCATATGGATGATTAATCTCTGGTCCAGTTGAGTGCTTACAGAGGAAGTCAATTCCAAAATGCTCTGATAAACAAAAAACTGCTGGACTGATGAATTAGACATTCAAGCACGAGCGTGTTTGTGTGCTGTTGCCTGTAACCTCAATTCTGAGATCCATGATCCATCCATCTTCTATCACAGACTTTCTAACCCAGTAATCCTCATATATATTCATTTTCTTTTCTTTCTTTCGTCACTTTTTGCTCTTATTCTTTACCCTCACTGTAAACTCACGGTCATTGTGTACTCTTTTAGACAACTGCACTTTTTGAAATCTTTTTGCATAAATAATATTCATTCCAATATTATTTCTTTTTACATTTTCTCAGAATTTACACTATCTGTTCAGCTTCCCTAAGCCTCTATGTCATCATTCCCTTCATTTCGTATTCTTGTCTTTCTTCTTCCTTGTCCATCATCTTTCCTCTGGGTTTCAGCATGTTCCTCTCACACTCACTACGGCCTTGCCCTCGTTGTGTCCTCTCTGTGACAGCAGTGATAAAGGTGCTAAATGTACAAGTCTTAGTATCTTTCTCCTCTAAACACCCCCCACCACCATCACATACACATACATACACATACACTCTACCCTAGAGCTAGCAACACAAGAAAGCAATTTTCAATTTATAACAGAGTGGAAAAAGTCTCAGCCCTTAACAAGCTCTATTTCCCTCCCCAATCTTAAGGGACAAGGGTTTGTCAGGTGAATTTACACAAATCTGGGGGTCCATGCTTATGCATTCCAAAGAGAAAAAGACAAAAAATATTAAAGAAGAGACAGGAAAAACAAGTTAGTGGGGACATGTTTGAGGTCAACGGGATAATCTCTATGATCTCCAACAGTTTCCTATAATAACAGAAACTATCACTGTTCTTTTGTCAACAAATCTAAAAGTTGGAGCTGTGCCCATCAGAACCTTGTCCATGCCCATCAGTGTCCGAGCTCTCACCGGGTTCCTGTTTCAGAGCTGGTAGAGAATGCCAGTGGTTCAGTTTGGTAATGGACCTAAGCGGTATTCTGGCACAAAGCCGTGGCCCCAGGAAAGCAATCTGAGACATGGTCTGTGTTGGCTAGAGGCCTTTAGGATTGCAAGGGATGGAATAGCTGGGGATGTGCCAAAATGTCTGGGAGGTAGGAGAGGATATGAATCCAAACACAATAGCTACATGTTTACTTATTATTTTAGAGGATTTGTGACAAAATAACAGTGAAAAAAAAAAGGACAATATTACTTAATACATAGTCCGATAACAATAAAGAAGGCTCTGGTGTACTTACATATTGTGCAGAACACACCAGCCACAGTGGGGATCTCCTGATCCAAGACATTCACTGCAGGTTGTGTACTGTCCACAGGCCTCCACTGGCACCCTCGACAGCTGTAGAGACATATACGACAGATTAGGACACACTGCATAGACAGAGTGCACTTTATGAGGAAAAAAAAAATCCCACAATATAGACAAAATAAAAAGATACAAAAGCACAAAATGTGAAAAAAAAAAAATTAGCTTCAAGATGTGAAAGAATTCAGAAATACTTAAGAAATTGTGGCAAAAATTATAATATTAAAATATTCAATCAAACTCCCTTGTAATTTGTTGGTTTCAGTTAAAAAGTGCATAAACAAAGATCAACAGATAATTCAAGCTTGTCAAAAAAAGTGAGATAAAAGTAAAACCTGAGTCATGTATAGCTACAAAATCCAAACAGACCAAGCTAACATGTAAATTACTTTGTAGCATGGCATATTTGTATGAAAATATCCATGTTTGACAGTTTTCATCTTTCTTCCATCCAGCTGTTTCAAGGAATTTAGCCACTTGGGATTACTAGCCCTTCAATGATGATATATGGCTCTGCCAATTCAAAGTGGCATTGACTGGCACTGATTGGCATGGGCATTAAGTAACCAAGTACACAGGGCAAAACTGAGGTGGATCTCAGCTGTCCCACTCCTTCGGTCACCATGGTAACAGTGTGCTGTTGGCACTTTTGATTAATGAGCCGTCGTTGGTGAATGACCGCTGTCACTCCCACCGCTTCATACCAGACAAGACAGAGAAATGACATCACCAGTGTGAGACAGATCTGGTCACGTTAAAAGAGTATGAAAGGTTTTTTGTTTGTGTGGCAGTTTCTGAATGCTAACTGGAATAATTAAAAAAATATATATATATATCTTCTATTGTACATTTCTGTTTGCAATATTTAGAATAAACTTAATATATAGGGCTACACAATATTTGCAAAACTTGCAGTGTGTAATATTGTTTAATAATGACATGACAATATTAAATGCCATAAACCCACATTTTCTTCACTTTCTTTTATTTTATCACCATAATGTAAACCAAGTGTGGGAATCTCACTGGCCTTGATGGATTAACCAAATGTATTACTAGCATGCAGAACACAAATGCATGCTAAAAATATTGGTTGCTCCATAATATCAATGTCCACGCAGTCCAAAGTGATATAGCGCTCAATGATATTGTGATGACCACAAATTTCTATATAATGTGCATCTCTGATACCTATAAATATATGAATCCTATAACAAAATCATGCAAATAAACTGAAAAGCAAAACTAGAAAAAAACAATATAAAAGAATCATCACCAGTACTGCTTGCTGAAGAAAACAAGGATTTAGAACTACGTTCAGAGCTATTATATTTGTTTCAATACATAATGCCATAGTTATTAAATCAGCAGAACACACTGTATGTCAGCATTAGTGCATCATTTCAAACAGGTTTTTCTATTTTAATTATTTAGCATTCTTTTAGGTAAATCTGAAGCAAAGCTATGTTTTACCAATTTTTTTTTTAAAATTATTAATCAGTCTTTAAGAGCTTAAATGCATAGATTAAGCTGTAAGATGAAGGGAGAAATCACATGCCGCCATGGCTGATGGTGCTTCTAAAACCCAGCTTGGGATTAACAGTAGTTGTCATACCCTGATGCATGTTGTTATAACACCTCTCTACCTGATAAAGCACTCAAATAAAAGCCTTTTATTAACTTGTAGTGAAGGTGAATTTGTTATAGACTTCGTTTAGGTCTGACACACTGATGACGTAGTTGCATTTAAGTCACAACACTACACAGTTCCTTCTTTTAACACGTTACATTTGAGTAATTGTCGCACACCTCAGCAGGTCGAATGCAGAGACGTGTACTCGCACACACTCAACATATTCACACACATCTGAATGCATTTAAGGGGGGTGTATCTCCTTGTCAAAGTCAAGAGGAATCATGCATGCTATTAGAGATTAGACACAATGCAGGTGCATTCGTGTATCAAGCTTGTGTGTGCACTTTGGGGAAAAATAGTATGTTTTGCTCTCCCTAGTGTGCAGGGGGGTATTTGCATTAGGTAGATAAAGGGAATGAGTTTCAGATGGAATCTGGGAGATAGCAGTGCAATGTTGTGCACATGATCAAACTCAACATTGATTCCCATTGCACGTGTCTCGCAAGATAGATTTCCCCTTTTCCCGCCACCCCTCCTCAGGCATGGTTCTTCTTACATTTGCCACTGTCTAACCTCACCGCTAGCGAAACAACCTCTTAGTCCCAGAAGAGAAAGGCCATTACAATAGCCAGTGGATGAATTTCAGCTGACAAAACCTTATCATGCAAGTTTATGAAATCACTTATTCACTACATCTATGCATGTGGTGCTTATATGTAATTTACTTGGTTCTTCACTACGTGAAAATCATAAAAGCTATACACCCAGCCAGAGCTGGGGTGAACAATTCTGTTTACACACTTTATGATTCAACACTTCAACAGAATATATGCTAACATATGCTATTATATATACGCACATACACCACCTAGAAGTACATCTAAGTGTCAAAACATCATGACGCCTGCATCTGAGAAGGTGGTTTTGTCCACAGATAAAAACAAACAACCCCCCCCCCCCCCCCCACACACACACACACACACACACACCACATTCAAAGCCTGGCAAAAGCAATAGGTGCCAATAGCAGCCTCTGTTCCAGAGCACAGATCCTGATATCATTCATTTTCCCTCTGTTTCTGTCCGTCTGTCTCCGTCACTCAGATCCTCTGGGGTGTGCAAGATCATACATTCATCATCTCTCCAGAGCCTTGGTTCTCTATCCAACCCATACACACTTAAGCAGGCTACACTTTTGTCTCCACTTTTATCACAAAATTGAGGGATTTGGTGGCTAAACGACTCAATGCACCTCTTGTCCCTCTCATCTCGATATCACATTCATTTTATGCTATCTTCTTCGTGGGCTTAACCAGGGAGGAGACTATTACGGCTCACCGTCTCTTCTCTATGTCTGTGCTATCATATCAGCGGGGATAAATACAAAGGATAGGGTGCATGGCATTTATAATTCCCTCCTGTTTCAGGTGAGTAAATGACAGCCATTACACTCTGCACTCTCCCTCCTTTCACAATAGGTGGAGATGGATGCTGCTGAATACAGCCGTGCTTTTAAAAGAAGCAGAGATCAGAGCGGTACTTGATGCTTTAATGTGTGTGTGAGGGGGAGATGGGAGATGCATTTGATCATTTGCTGTGGGGAACAACGGCATCAAATTATATATACAGTACTCATGTATGTGCATTGACATGATGAATATCAAGGAGGAACAAAATTAAAGTGTATATTTTAGACACTAAGAAATTCATCTGAGGATAAAATACAGATCAACTCTGTTTTATCCTTTCTTCTTTTCTTAGTCTTCCCTGCTCTGTACATAATGCCAGGGGCATTTAAGAAGCTGATCATTTATTAACTCTGCAGAGAGTTTTATTATCAACTAATTCCTCTGCCTCGTCTCTATTCCTGTCTTTATCCTACATTTTTCTTGCCATTTTCCACTTGTAATTAAACTGATTCCACCTGCAGCCAATCTACACCCCTCCAAATGCACACAGAGAAAGAAATCACAGCGATAGTCCAATCCTGATTTACAGCCGGTGGGACACACTGAACTCCTCTTATCTTTTCATTTCTACCCTAAAGGTAACTTCATCTTTTTCTCTTCCCCTGGTGAGAGTTTATTCATTACTTTAGCACACTGTTGGCGTTCTAGCCTCAATGTTGGCCAGGAAGAAGAAATTAGTGACACAAAAGTTGGTTAAATGTGTAAAATATTGTGCAACTGTTTGAATTAGAATACATGAACTTGTCAGTCAGGCTGCAAATGTAATAACAAATCATTCTAATTCCAGACATACAATAATTGATTAATTATTGATTAACTTCTGACTTGCTGTTAGCAGAAATGCATGCCTTTGAAACAAACACCAACCAAGCAATTAGCAATTTTTCAATCATAACACTGAAATAATGCAGTCTTTTGCTTTTTCCACTATGCCATGTTTATCTTTTATCAGCATTAACTTAAAAAAAATCAATCCTCTTTAATTTTACTTTCACACATTGTCATCCTTTTTTATTTCATTTAGTTAATGCCACTCTTTCCCTCCCTCTTCCCTTTCTTCTTCACCTGAGTAGAGCCAAGCTCGACGTGGGAATCAAATGAAGCAGAGGACACATCAACGACTCAACGCCTTGTCACAGCTGACGCTCTGCTCAATCTGTCAACCTCTAACCGACGTTGTTATATCATAAATTTGGTTAACAGAGCAGAGCAGGCCAATGGCTGCAAGTGCAATATTGTTTTAATTTGATTTTCTAGAGGCTCGACGGAGCTATCCATTGTGCTGTCAGGATTGTCAGCTTAAGATAAATGACTCAGAAATAATCATTTTTACTTATCTTACTACTTAATCGGGTAAACTTCCTGAACAAAAACAGAAGAAACTGCAGTTAAATAAGTTTGAGGAGGTTTTCAGATCAGAATTTCACACATTCACCGATAGATTTTTACCATCTGGAAGATTTATGCATGTTAGCGCAACAAGCTCAACACATATTTAGTGGAACTTGTCCTAGAATTGTGCTCATTTTTCCACATTACAGTGTTTGTCTACAGTGGCAGAGCTATGCTGAGCAGATCATTGTGGACATCTCCTGTTACAACACAAAAACATTGGACACGCAGTGTTTTAATTCTGCACAGCCTGGACTGCAACCAGTGGCCAAGATGCTGTCAAATATAAAATGTTTGTTAAACAGAATAATAGGCTGGAAAAAAAAAAAAAAGACACACTGAGAAAATCAAAGTAGGGCTTCAAAACAAAGTTGTGGGTGAAAAGATTTCAAACTAAGCCCGGCTTGCTTCACTTTGACTTTTTCCATGTGTGTTAAGCAAGAATGGTTAAAGCGTATCAGCTCTGTGCGCCTGCCTTGTAAGAGCCGAAGCCTGCGTCTAATCTGCCACGCAACATAATACACACATCTGAACAC